CTCTCCTGTTACTACCCCTACTTTTTCTAGACAACGTACCAAACATACAGAAATATCTATTGTTTGGCTTTTTTTACTCAACTAATTCCACAAAATAAGACTAAGTGTAAAACTTGTGGCAACGAGTTAGCTTTTAAGTATTTTGACGGTCGGGGGGGACGGGAACTTTGAAAAGACACATATTGATACACACTCAAGATAAAGCCAAATATCTTCGTATGAAAGCCTTGGCCGAAGGGACAAGTGTACCTACTCCTAGTCAGGCTGACCCTAGTACCGGGTCAAATCAATTTCAACTGGGAATTAACACTGTTACCGGTAGTATTTTATATTATGACCCAAAAAAAGAACGGGAAGAATTGGCAAAAATAGTTACTGCTATTTGCTTACCCTATAGTTTTCCTTCTAACCCTAACTTCGTGCATTATATTAGAAAAATTGGAATCCTACTTATAAAGGTTTTCATCGCACAACCGTAAAGAGCGATATTTATAAATATAAACATGAATATGAATAATATTTGCGCTATTTATTTACTCATATAAATTATCGTATTGCTATTTTGGTAGAAGTGGTAATGACTGTGATTACGTTACTGTTACCAGTCATTGGATTGATGAAGATTGGATAATGCACAAGCGTATTGTTGCTTATAGAATAATTAATTCACGTCTCACATGGCAGTTTATTGCTGGCACAATTATGAATATTTGTAGATATTTTTGCAATATTGATAAAATCATGTCAGCTTCAATGGATAATGCTACTAGTAACACAAATGTTGTAGCTTTGTTTACCACTACACTAAGTCCCGCACTTAGTAACATTTTTCATGTTAGATGTATTTGTCATATTTACCGTTTAATTGTGGGTGATGGTATGAGAATTTTAACTATTAAAATTGAAAAGGTTAAAATGACTCTTAACTGATTTTTTTATTCAAACCGTAGAAGTAGACTTAGCGAATATTTTAAAAGATGCGATGAATTTGGCCTAAGAGAAAGAAAGGTTTCTAAAGCTTGTCCAACAAGATGGAATTAAATGTATGAAAGCTTAGTTGTTGCATATGAATATAGAAACCCCATAAACTCAACGTTTAATGCTCATGTAAGTGATGATGATGAACACCTTACAAATGCGGATTGAGCTAATATTAAAATGCTTGTAGATTTTTTAGAAAAATTTCATATTGCTACAGTAGAATTTTCTGGGCAATATTATCCGACTATTTCTAATTGTTTAGTTTATATTGCAGAACTTGCAAATTTGTTTGCTCATTTTTCAGAGGATGTAGAAATTTATCAACTTGCTATTGATTCTATGAGGAAAAAGTTAAATATTTTTTCCCTATTTCCCTTGTTTATGGTGTTGCTGCCTTGTTAAATTTTACTATGAAATTAGGAGGTCCTCAATTTTGGTATGAAAGTGTTTATAATGGTTTAGCACTTAAAGAAGAGGAGTTGTCTAAACTTCCGGAAGCAATAGCCTTAATTAAAATAAATGCTCAAACTATTTATAATGCTTATCAAGTTGCATTAGATCAGGCTAGACCAAATGTTCCAACTCCTTTTTCTTTTGATTCTCAATCATCTAAAAGAACTGCAGGGGTAAGAGCACATAGTGCTTGGGCGGGGTTCAGGGGTTCTCAAAGTTCTACTACTAGTGATTTTTTACAACTAAATGAGCTTGAAGTTTATTTGTCACAGGGAATTGAGGAAGTGAATCCGAACAGATCCTTTAATATTTTGGAATGGTGGAAGGACAAAGAAAAATATTTTTCGATTCTTTCAAGGATGGACCGAGACATTTTAACTATTGAAGCTTCAATAGTGGCATCGGAGAGCACTTTAAGTCAAGCAAGACTTCAACTCGGTGATTATAGAGCGTCTATGAGGGAGAGTTTAAAAAAAATCAGTACTTTTCAGAGATTGGATCCGTTCAGAAAGAAGAAAGTTTGGACTTGCTGAATCACAACCAGAGATAGACGAAGCTTACGAAGAAATGCTAGCTGAACTTGCGGAGGATGCTGCTTCGCCCGAAAGCGGCGATGACCAAGCTACTTTTCTGCCACCGCCAACAGAAATTCCTCCGGACCTTGATGGATTTATGAAGTTTGTAAGAGATACCATGTAACTTGTAAAAATTAGTATGTATTATGTAACTTGTATTTTGGCACATCTTGATTAGTTTCTTTTTCTTCTCAATGGTGGTATTAGCACCTTGTTGTGCTCATTCCATAGGGGGGAGGAAGACTAAGAAAGATAGTGTTATATTTTTTTAATGCTATAATAAAATTATAATGCATTGCTTTGAATATCTCTTTACAATATTTTTGTCTTTAAATTTGAATTAAAAAATTTAGGTCTCATATAATTACAAGAAATTGCCTTAGATATTTTTTATTGCCATTTTTTTTCTCTAACTTCTATAAAAATAAATTTTAAAAAAATATCCGTTGGGACCACTTAAGCCACTTGGGCTCACTTAGCCCGGGAATATTAGTTCGTGGGCCCGATCCCGGGCCGGTTCCTACAAAAAGACCACGCAGCTCGGGACCGCAAAGACCATTTAATTTGGGACTGACCCACTTAGGACCTGCCCAATTAACCCGTTTAGGCCCGGGACCGGCCCACATGCCAGCCTTATTCGTATATTAAAGAATTCTATAATAAATACTAGCTACTACAGTAATATTTCAACTCTACCTTTAATACTTGGAAGACCTAAATAAAACGTTCAAATAAGAAAAAAGTCTCACATGAAAAGTAAAATAAATAAAATAAAATCTATTTATAATGTAGGACACTCTTAGTGGTGTGAGACCTTCTAGAGAAAATATTTAGTTTAAAATGGATAATTTTACACCATGTTACAAGTTTCTTTGGGTCGTTTTAGCCCAACTGGTATCACAACCAATGGTTTAGCGGGTTTGCGACCTTTACTTGTAGCTTTAAAGACAACATGCGCATCTAGGAGGCCTTTTGGGAAAACCATGCTATTTTGGCCTAAAAAATATGGAATTGTTTCATTCTTATACACTATTAGAAACTTTATTACTCTAAATGTTCATGTTTAGTAAATTACCCTAGCTACACAAGTTTTGTTTACAAAATATACACATTCCACCTTAAAAGGCTCCCAATCCAATATTAGTGCCTTCAATTAAGGGATTTAATTACACATTTTTCCTTTTTTTCCCCCTCTTCTCTTTCCATGTTTTTCCTCCGCCTTAAATACAATAATCTTCCTATATGACCTAGTTATATACATTATCATCTGTTTAACTTTTGGTCTATTAGCCAAAAGCTTTAATATTCCTATACGAAAATTTAGTCAAAAAAATTTACACAAAAGAGAAATAGAAAACCATCAAGAAATTAAAGTCAAAGTGCAGATGATAGAAGTCAATATCATACAAAACAGAACATCTTATCAGAGACCAGAATAAACTTCCAAGATTCATATATCAAGATAGCCATTAAATCGTTTATAACTATCAACGATTTGCGTAAAAAGAAGAACCCATGAAAGTGACATTCTTAGAATCACATAGAAAAAAGGAGGAGAAAACAAGGGAATCAAAAACAGATTACATACATTGGAAACGCAAAAATACGAAAAGAAAAGACAAAATCAAGAAATTATTGATAGCGAAAACGACCAGGAATCGAATCAAAGTTACACATGCAATCACAATTACATGATCTTAAATGGGTATAGTATAATCTTAAATGCAAATTTTATACAATATGTCTTTTGTATATTATGTATCTGATTTATACATAGTAAAAATAAATTTTATACAACTAATTATATATTATACAATTTATCTACAACTTTCACACATTATTTCTACCCAGTTAAATACAATTACAATAACATACAACTTAAATACAATATGTCTTTTGTATATTTTGTATCTAATTTATACATAGTAAAAACAAATTTATACAACTAATTATATATTATACAACTTATCTACAACTTATCTACAATTTTCATACATTATTTCTACTCAGTTATATAAAACTACAATATCATACAACTTAAATATAATTTTTATACAATGTTGTTCAACTTTCATACAATAGTTAAATAAATTAAAAAAAATATAAACAACAGAATATAATTTTCTACAATTTTACTACAATTTCTGCAGTATAATGTATGTTATGTCTTCTTCTTCTTCTTCTTCGACGAGTTTCAATCTGAAATTCAGCCAAAACCAAGTTTGATTTTCACCAAAACCCCTCAAAATTGAGATATAAACTCCAAACCATATTTCGAATTATTTGCAACAACATCTAATCCAAACAAATAATGATTTTTAAAAACCCAAATTCGAATTTAAAGCTTCAAAGCTTTTTAATGGATGTCAATGGTGGAATTGTTGCTCTCTTTTTCCTTTGCTTTACATTACTGAAATTTGGGATTGAGAGATAGAGAGAGACGTAGAGAGAATTCTCAATTCTTTGCAACAATATCCAATCCAAACAAACAATGTTTTTTGAAAACCCAAATTCGAATTCAAAGCTTCAAAACTTTTAATGGTTGTCAATGGTGGAATTGATGCTCTCTTGTGCAAGATACATGGGGAAGGGGGGGGGGATGTGGAGAGAAAAACATGGGGAAGTGGAAGATATGTTAGAGTAATTTTAGGACACTAATTATTATCATTAATTCCCTTAAAATGTACATAAATGGTGATTGGATATATAAAATGTAATATAACTGAAAAAGGTGCACGACGAAAAGCCAACCTGATTTTTTTTATTCGTTTGACGAGGAAAAACCTTAAGTACTGAATTAATTAAATTACACCTATATCGCGAAAAAGAGTTGCTCTAGCTTTAGCGTGCACCCTTTCTCCTACGAGGAAAGTGACTCTTTTATAGTAAAACTTGAGTAGGGAGAATAATATAGTTTCATATAGTGTATAGGAATGTAAAAATTCCAAATATTATTATATTGTGTTAAATGTATTTGGGCCGTTTTAGGCTAACACTTTATATGGTCTCAACTAGTCAGTTATATCTATCCATGTAGTAGTAAAAATCTTTGCTATGGTCTATGGATATAAACAGGCATTTTTCCTTTGTTGAATAAGTGACTAGATAGTTGAAATTGCAGAGGGAGCCGAGAGAGTTTGGTGTCAAATGGCGGAATCAAACCCAACAGAGTCAACTCTGCTAGCTTCTAAAATATGCAATCAGATAAGCTCTGTCTTCTCCAACACCGCCACACAAACCCCAGCCTTGGAAGTTCTGGTGCAAGAAATCACAGCCGCTGCTACCCGCAACGGCAAGGTGTTCGTGTACGGCGTGGGCCGTGAAGGGTTAATGCTGAAAGCCCTATCCATGAGGCTTTTCCATCTGGGTTTATCAGCCCACTGCGTCTTCGACATGAACACTCCTCCAATTGGGCCGCCGGACCTCCTAATTGCCTCCGCCGGCCCAGGGGGTTTCTCCACCGTGGATGCAATCTGTGGTGTGGCCAAATCCAACGGTGCTCGTGTGCTGTTGCTGACAGCTCAGCCCGAATCCGGATCTTCTGTGAAGTACGCGAGTGTTGTTGCTCATATTCCGGCTCAGACAATGGCTGATGATAACGCTGGTGACGCGGAGCAGGATAGGCCACTGCTTCCGATGGGGAGTTTATATGAAGGAGCCATGTTGGTGCTGTTTGAGATGGTGGTTTTTAAGTTGGCAGATGTTTTGAAGCAGAGTCCTGAGGCTGTGCGAACACGCCATACCAATCTGGAGTAAGCATAAACGTTGAGGTATTGAGGTTAAATATTTAGGAATATTTGGTTTTTGAACTAAGATGGGAAGCATATATCATATGTATGGACTATGGTGTATCCAGTGGCTGAGCTAGGTTGAAGAAAGGGAATTCAATTTGCTTGGTTTATATGTAATGTAAGTTCTTCAATTCCCTCGGCATGGAGAAAATTCTAGTGAAGTGTGGCAAAGGATGTAAACATTGCTACTTTTGAATTCTCTTGCATAAATTCCCGGCTCGTACCTTGATTATGATGTCTTGTGAGTCCACTAGTTTAAAGCTAAATCTGGTTAATTAAATTTCCATTTGTGCCCAACACAAAGCAGGACAAGATAAGGAGTAAATTTCCCTCATTTATATCCAGTATTTTATACTACTACCTCATCATTCTTTTTGAGTTTGTGAAATTTTGTTCAAATAGGCCCTAAGAAAGGAAAAATGGGGCCGTACACATGGATTTCACCTTATGTTTTATACTTGCTCATAATTTGGGTTGTTGGTTTGAAGTTTGAAATTTGTTTTGGAACTGTTTCATCTATAAACGTAAAGGAAAAAAGAAAAAACCGACGAGCAAATATCTTGGATAGTGTCGTATTGGATGACTAGAAACTCCAGAAAAAAAACCATTTTGACATCATAATCTCCCGGTCCTTGTTTCACATTATTATCAGGGGAATTTTCGGAAATCATTATAGTTTAGACGCTATTTACGTGGCACAATTATTGTTCTCATATTTACTATTCGTAGCAAAATATGTATTGCTAGTAGTTTGTATTTTTTGTATTCGTGCGGGCATTTAAGGCTATATTTATTACATCCCGTACTTATCCCGTACTTTTCTACGTTGGATTTATCACAAGATAATTGATATAAGTTCAATGACAAGACTATTTTTGAGGTTATAAGTACTTATGATATTTATAAAAAGTGATAAGTAAAGTTGTGAAGGTGAGAGGGAAATGAGTTGAAGAAAATGAGGTTGGTCGAAGTTTGACATTTGGAGATAAAATACGGTTCAAGCTATAATACCCCGTATTTATGGACTAGTGCCATACCACATGATCATGATAATAAGGTATATGAAATATATTAGTATTTAAGTGAATCAAGACCTATAAATTATTGTGTGAATAATTGGTTAAATGTTGGTATAAAGTCATGGAATATGGAATTAGTTATAAGTGGATAAGTATCATTTGTATGAATCGATGTGGAATCACGAGGATAAGGGGGGCTCATGACTAATCAACTTTATAAGTATTGAGGTGGCAGCAAGTAGGCAATTCAATATTGACTAGGTAAGTCTTGGAGCTAGGTGGCAAGATTAGGGAGTTTTGATGGCTTAGTAGTCATCAAATTACTGGGGTGGATAAGTAATTAAAAAGTTTGGATAGGCTTGATAAGCCTCCCAACGTGGCAGTAAGTATGGGGTCTTGATCAAGACAAATGACGACTCTTTAGTTTATGAGGTTAAGTGGCATTTTAGGAGAATTTTTGGGCTGCCACATGGTATGAAGTTGGCCAAGGGTGGCACCAATGTACACATGAGTCATAGCACTTGTATGCCTTGTTTACACATGTCAATGCAAATTTTTAAGTCTTCATGTTATACTTCTTTTGCAATTGAGATATAAAAAGAAAGTTGAAAATTTTCCTTCTATTATTAGGGAGTCTCTTACTTTAGAAACATAGCAAAAACATACATCTATGATACTCTATATTTCCAGCAACATGAGATATGCCATGATCATAAGAAGTGCTTAGTTCTTGTTCAAAGATTTAAAAGAGTAAAGTTGTTCTTGGCAAGCTCAAGTAAAAATGTTTGATAAATTCCTCAAGTAAAGTATGTTAAGGCTAATCATTCCTTCTGGATCATGAGGGTAAGGGGGGCTCATGACTAATCAACTTTATAAGGATTGAGGTGGCAGCAAATAGGGAATTCAATATTGGCTAGGCAAGTCTTGGAGCTAATGCAAGATTAGCGAGTTTTGGTGGCTTAAAAGAGCAAAAGTTGTTCTTGGCAAGCTCAAGTAAAAGTGTTTGATAAATTCATCAAGTAAAGTATGTTAAGGCTAATCCTTCCTTCTGGAATCATGAGGATAAAGGGGGCTCATGACTAATCAACTTTATAAGGATTGAGGTGGCAGCAAGTAGGGAATTCAATATTGACTAGGCAAGTCTTGGAGCTAAGTGGCAAGATTAGGGAGTTTTGGTGGCTTAGTCATCAAATTATTGGGGTGGATAAGTAATTAAAAAGTTTGGATAGGCTTGATAAGCCTCCCAATGTGGCAGTAAGTATGGGTCTTGATCAAGACAAATGTTGACTCTTTAGTTTATGAGGTTAAGTGGTATTTTAGGGGAATTTGTGGGCTGCCACATGGTATGAAGTTGGCCAAGGGTGGCACAAATATGCACATGAGTCATAGCACTTGCATGCCTTGTTTACACGCGACAATGCAAATTTTTAAGTCTTCATGTTATACTTTTTTTGCAATTGAGATATAAAAAGAAGGTTGAAAATTTTCCTTCTATTATTAGGGAGTCTCTTACTTTAGAAACATAGCAAAAACATACATCCATGATACTCCATATGTCCAGCAACATGAAATATGCCATGATCATAAGAAGTGCTTAGTTCTTGTTCAAAGATTTAAAAGAGCAAAGGTTATTCTTGGCAAGTTCAAGTAAAAGTGTTTGATAAATTCCTCAAGTAAGGTATGTTAAGGCCAATCCTTCCTTCTTTTGACATGATCCAAATAACGATATGTAAACGTAATGCTATTCCATAAGTGGTTCTACTCTTAACAGTTAAGGATGCCTATGTTATTCATTCTTGTAATGTTACGATCCAAAATCCGTTAAAGGCCGTGATGGCGTCGGGCACCACTATCAGGCAAGCCAACACTAAGTAGTTATTTAAATTCTCATTTTAATATTTTCGAAATCATAAATTTCCTTCAATTTAACTAGTAAAAAGATAAACTTTACAGAATAATTATTACTATTTTCAAATCTTACTACTGAATATCTCATAATCATCTCAGAACCCGGTGTCACAAGTGCATGAGAATTTACTAGGAATTTAAAATACAATATAATAACCGTCCGGAATACAAATTTGGATAGAAAAGAATATACAAATACTCTGAAGGAGACTGTGCTGGCTGCGGATCATCTCATAAGATGCAGCTCACCTAAGTCCCCGTATCAATCGCGCCGCTGCGCCCATACGGCCACTGAACACACATGTGCATGTACAACAAAATGTACAGCAAGTGTAGTACGAGTACGAAAACAACGCGTACCCAGTAAGTGTCCAGTCTAACCTCGAAGAAGTAGTGACAAGGGGTCGACTTCGACACTTTCTAGTGGTTTAATAATATCAGGTACAGTAAAGAAGTGAATAAATATGAGATAGAGTAAATATATAAAACAAACAATTATAAAATATGTGCTACAATTTTCCNTATATATATTGGATTTTATCAAAGAGGTTATCATAATTCAAATTAGGGAAAAACCCTCCGATATACTGGCTTATTCCCAAATATTACGCACGATTACATGAGGATAATATATATAGGAAATGCCGAGGCGTACGGTCTGATCCAACATAAAATAAACTGTGCATTGCCGAGGGTCGAACCTCGCGAACCATAGATGCATCTATTAACTTGCCGAGGCGATCGGCCCGCTCCCATGAGAGTAGTAGAAGGAATTAACCCGCTCGTGGATCATACTTGCGATGCGGTCAAATATAAATTTAAGGAAATTTCCCGCTCGCGGATCATACTTGTGACACAGTCAAATATGTATATTTAAGGAATTACCCTGCTCGCGGATCATACTGGTGATACGGTCAAATATAAATTTATAATTAAATCATAACCCTTTTTTGATTCTTTTCAAAATAAAGACAATTCGACTTGAAACTTTTAAATCCTTAAAAATCCTCAACTTAATTCCATTTGATACAATTAACAAATATAATCAAGTAACGGTGTCCACAAAGCATGGTGTAAACCTAAAACTACCTGGACATAAACATGAATAGTATCTACATACGGACTCTTGTCACCTCGTGCATACGTGGCCCCCACAAATAGAAGCACATATTGAATTATTTCACCTATGGGGTAAATTACCTCTTATAAGGTTAGAAAGGAGACTTATCTCGCTACGAAGTTTCATAACCGACTCCAACACCACTGTAACACCTCAAATCGATGCCCAACTCTCCAAATCTAGCCAAACAATGCACAAACCAATGAAAATATACTTTAATACTCATAACAATTTAATTTACAACAATTCCCAACTCAGCTCGGAAAGTTGATAAAATCACCCTCGGGCCCACGTGCCCGGATTCTGAAATTTTTCAAAGATAAACATTACCCGTTATATTATGAACTCAAATATGTAATTTATTTCCAATTCGATGCCCAAATTCGTGGCCAAAATTCAAAAATATAAATTTCTAGGTTTTCTTCCAAATCCCACAATTTCTACCAATTTTCATGTCTAAATCTATATACAGGCCATGTATTTAATTCACAATGAGAAGAAATCACTTACCCCATAGAAGATGCTGGAAATAACACTCCAAAATGGCTCCAAAATCGCCTCCCATGGAAGAAATAAAGTGAAAATGAGCCAAAACCCCGATTTTAAAAGAACACTGCCTAGGCGACCCTTCATCGTGAACGCGGGACATTCCTCGTGTTCACGAAGCTCAGAAACCTCACTCCCAAAAATCCCTCTTCGTGAATGTGGCAAGACCTTTGCGTTCGTGAAGCACAATCCGCCTCAAACCCCATTTACTCTACGCGAACGCGAGACAAGGATCGCGAACGTGAAGCGCCATTCCCCAGCCTTTCGCAAATGCAACTCTCCTGTCGCGAACACGAAGAACAAAAGAGCCCCCAAACCAACTCCTTCTTCGCGAATGTGTAAGGCCCTTCGTGTTCGCGAAGAACAACACCAACACCAGCAAACAACAGCATCAGTTCAACCAAGAATTGGCCCGCAACCACCCCGAAACACACCCAAGGCCCCCGCGACCCTGTCTAATCACACCAAGCAGTCCCATAGCATAACACAAACTTGCTCGAGGCCTCAAATCACATCAAACAATATCGAAATCATGAATAACACCCCAATTCGAGATTTGAACTTTAGAACTTCAAACTTCAACATTCGATGCCGAAACCTATCAAATCACGTCCGATTGGCCTCAAATTTTGCACACAAGTCACATTCAACATTATAGACCTACACCAACTTCCAGAATCAGATTCCGACACCGATATCAAGAAGTCCACTTCTAGCCAAACTTCTCAAAAATCTTCAAATTTCTAACTTTCGCCAAATGACTCAAAAATGACCTATGAACCTTCGAATCCACTTCCGGATGTGCTCCCAATACCATAATGACCATACGGAGCTATTCCCAGACTCGGAATCCCAAACAG